ACATCATAGTATTACAGGTGATGACACCATAGTATTACAAGTAATGACATCATAGTATTACAGGTGATACATATATATAAATGTACCAAAATGAGCCAAGTGCGGGTGAGAAGTATGGGCCATACTTTTCAGAAAATAACGAGTATGGGTGATATTTGTAGAGAGTACGGGTGATATTTGTATCGAGTACGGGTGGTATTATTTGTAGTGAGTACATGGAGGTAATTTAGCGAGAATATATAATTAATTAAACAGGGCTGCTTCACTTCCACATTTAGTTTTTCTAAGATGGAACTAGTTTCGGTTCGTTAGATTGAACTAGTTTCAGTTCGTACCACTGATATTTTCTTTCTAAAATGGAGTGTTTTGCTGCACCAGTAATTGTTGTATAAATCCCGTACATTTTACCCCGCAATACCCCCACCCCGTACTCGCTATTTTTTACCCTCATACTCGCTATCGTGACATTTTATCACTTGTACTCGCTAAATTCCCTCCATGTACTCGCTACAAATAATACCACCTGTACTCGCTACAAATATCACCCGTACTCGCTACAGACATCAACCGCACTCGCTATTTTCTGATAAGTACGGCCCGTACATTTCACTCGTACTTGGCTCATTTTGGTACATTTATATACCTCGGTGATAACATCATAGTATTACAGGTGATGACATCATAGTATTATAGGTAATGACAGTGTTTGATGATATCATAGTATTATAGGTGACATCATAATATTACAGGTGACATCATAATATTACAGGTGACATCATAGTATTACAGGTGATGAAATCATAGTATTGAAGGTGATAACATCATAGTATTACAGGTGATGACATCATAGTATTGAAGGTGATAACATCATAGTATTATAGGTGATGACATCAAAGTATTATAGGTGACATCATAGTATTACAGGTGATGACATCATAGTATTACAGGTGATGACATCATAGTATTATAGGTGATGACATCATAGTATTACAGGTGATGACATAGTGTTACAGGTGACATCATAGTATTATAGGTGACATCATAGTGTTACAGGTGATGACACCATAGTATTATAGATGATAACATCATAGTATTACAGGTGACATCATAGTATTACAGGTGACATCATAGTATTACAGGTGACATCATAGTATTACAGGTGACATCATAGTGTTACAGGTGATGACACCATAGTATTATAAGTGATGACACCATAGTATTACAGGTGATGAACTCATAGTGTTACAGGTGATGACACCATAGTATTATAAGTGATGACACCATAGTATTACAGGTGATGAACTCATAGTATTACAGGTGATGAACTCATAGTATTACAGGTGATGACATCGTAGTATTACAGGTGATGACATTGTATTATAGATGATGACATCATAGTATTACAGGTGACATCATAGTATTACAGGTGATGAACTCATAGTATTACAGGTGATGACATCGTAGTATTACAGGTGATGACATTGTATTATAGATGATGACATCATAGTATTACAGGTGACACCATAGTATTACAGGTGATGAACTCATAGTATTACAGGTGATGACATCGTAGTATTACAGATGATGACATTGTATTATAGATGATGACATCATAGTATTACAGGTGACATCATAGTATTACAGGTGACATCATAGTGTTACAGGTGATGACACCATAGTATTACAGGTGACACCATAGTATTACAGGTGATGAACTCATAGTATTACAGGTGATGACATCGTAGTATTACAGGTGATGACATTGTATTATAGATGATGACATCATAGTATTACAGGTGACATCATAGTATTACAGGTGACATCATAGTGTTACAGGTGATGACACCATAGTATTATAGGTGATGACAGTGTTATAGATAATGATATCATAGTATTATAGGTGACATCATAGTATTACAGGTGATGACATCATAGTATTACAGGTGACATCATAGTATTACAGGTGATGACATCATAGTATTATAGGTGACATCATAGTATTACAGGTGACATAATAGTATTACAGGTGATGACATCATAGTATTATAAGTGATGACAGTGTTATAGATAATGATATCATAGTATTATAGGTGACATCATAGTATTATAGGTGACATAGTATTACAGGTGATGACATCATAGTATTATAGGTGACATAATAGTATTATAGGTGATGACAGTGTTATAGATAATGATATCATAGTATTATAGGTGACATCATAGTATTATAGGTGACATAGTATTATAGGTGATGACATCATAGTATTACAGGTGATGACATCATAGTATTACAGGTGACATCATAGTATTACAGGTGACATCATAGTGTTACAGGTGATGACACCATAGTATTATAAGTGATGACAGTGTTATAGATAATGATATCATAGTATTATAGGTGATGACATCATAGTATTACAGGTGATGACATCATAGTATTACAGGTGACATCATAGTATTACAGGTGACATCATAGTGTTACAGGTGATGACACCATAGTATTATAAGTGATGACAGTGTTATAGATAATGATATCATAGTATTATAGGTGATGACATCATAGTATTATAGGTGATGACATCATAGTATTTTATACATTGTATATTATACATCATGAATAACCCTGAAAAATTATATAAATATTCAATGAATAATTAAAAAAAAACAATAGCCAAAAACATATTTTCAAAATTGCTATATAGATGTTATGTGATAACTTATGTTTATATTTTGTTTTATCGGTACAGAATAGTAACTTTCTGTATTTCAGTTTCACTCGCTGTATCAGTGCTTCTAGATATTCCCATAAGCGGTTCTTCTTTTACATCCTTGTCTACCGGTTCTTTCCTTTGGCATCTTTTGTGAATGATTTGCATAAAGATGAGAAGTCCTGTCAGTATTAGTATGCTACCAGCCAATAAAAATGACAAATTGTAATTGGATGTTACATCATATACCCAACCTGAAATAAACACAATTTCTTGTAATGGAGTAGAATTACTAAGAGGAATTTTGAAGACACTGGAATGGGAGCTTGTAATTAAAATGCTACGTTGTATTTGCATACCACAAGTATTCTCAAACTTATTCTTTCTTATTTATCCTAAATCTTATTCTTTCTTATTTATCCTCAATCGTATTTTTTTTTATTTATCCTAAATCGTATTTGTTTCTTATTTATCCTCAATCATATTTCTTTCTTATTTATCCTGAATCTTATTTCCTTCTTATTTATCTTCAATTGTATTTTTTTTTATTTATCCTAAATCGTATTTCTTTCTTATTTATCCTCAATCGTATTTCTTTCTTATTTATCCTAAATCTTATTCTTTCTTATTTGTCCTAAATCGTATTTCTTTCTTATTTATCCTCAATCGTATTTCTTTCTTATTTATCCCCAATTGTATTTCTTTCTTATTTCTTGCTAAGAAATCCTGGCCTTGCCATAATAACTAATATGAGCAAAATGTCACCACACGCCTCCTCTCCTCTTTAATAGAAAAAGTACATTTGGAATTTTTACAAGTGATGAATTTAAGTCGCTCTTTTTTTTAGGCCTGCATGGCCACTCATGATGTACTGTTTACTTACGATGGAATCCTATTGGATATAATATTGATCATTATGGTTTGACGAGAATTTAATTTAAGACGTTCAGTTTTAATAGAACATACAATTCTTCAACTCAGATTAGATTTTTTGTTTTCTTTAATTCTTTCCCCAATATTGTACTCTGATTGATATAATAATTAATTAACGTTGTTAACCTCCCAGTACCTGAATTATTCATTCTTACCTCCAAGAACAGGTCCAAGCAGGTTTCCTAGTCCAAGCATTAATAAAAACCATCCAAATGCAGTAGAGAAGATGTCAATTGGCAGGCATGCCTTCATACACACTGCACCATTTAAAGGAATTGCTATACCACTTAAGAAACCATATGATGCACTTAGACAGGCATACACTATGTAGTTGCCATTGGCAACCATAAACAGCAGCATTGATGTCCCAGCAGCACACCATGCACATGCTACAAAGAACATTGGGGAAAAGTGTCCCAGATCAACAAACCAGCCATGAGTGGCTCTGCCTACTAGTGCCCCAATTCCAGTGATTGTCATTAGGAAAGCTGCATCTAGTTTGTGAATTTTGGCCGACACGGCCTTTGACACGAGATGACCCATCATTCCCATGTGTCCTGTTGCACTCATCAATGCAGTACAGCATAGAATGCAGAACCAAGAATCAGTGAACAAATGTAATCCCAATCGAACCGCAATTTTTGTTTGTAGCTTCTTGGGTTTCTTCTTGTTATTTCCATTTACAACACCAGTGGGGACGACGAACTCATCACTTTGGTCATCTTCACATTGTTTGTTGTTTGTCTCCTCCAGTGTACCTTTCATCCCACCCCTAAATATATCTTGGGATACCACGTTACTTTCAGCCATTGTTAACGGTGCAGGATTCGTCGTATCCAACGTTGCATCTGGGTCGTGTTTTGGTGGTGGTGGTGGTCTCATCAACATTCCACACACGACAATGTGCAAGTTAATTCCAGACAATACCATCATTGTGCCTTTCCACCCATATCTATTGATCAATAGTTGATATAGTGGTGGTAAGGCCATGATACCTATAGCACCACCGGCATAGACAATTCCATTGGCTAATGCATGACGCTTGTGAAAATACTTTCCAACAATTATAATACTCTGTCCATATAAAAATGCAAATCCAATCCCTGAAATAAAAATAAATGTCATTATACAAATGTACACCCCAACAGAGGTGGACATACAGTTTTAGCGACCAGAAGAACTCATTGTCAACCGAGGCGAATACCTCTCAAAAGAAATAAATCTTAAAACAGAAATTGTGGCACTCAATCATGGCAAACTTAAGTTCACGCTTGTAGATCTGAATGCATGTATGAACACAATTATACAAGTTGAAAGAGTTCAAGAGCAGTGATTGAATTCTATTTATCGTGGACACCTTTTTACTTTCAATGGTAGTTTTGATAAACTTAATTTCAACAGCTTCAGCCTGACAAAGAATTGATTTTTGCAACAACATCTTGCACCATTCTGTGCGCAGCTATACGCTACATTGCGTTACAGTTCGCATTACATGTCGAACACTGAAATGAGCTGCACATGGAGCTGCATACTGCTTGAGTATAGGTTTATTATGTCATGTAACCATTCTCTTTCAACAAATACACTGTACATAATATGTCAATATACTGTCAAACACACAAAATAAGTAACAGCAAAGCCAACGATTCTCAGATTATTTAGGTTGAGGAACTACGCAATCGCAGATTAAATGTCTCAAAGTGCATAGCTGAGCATGCTGTTGAACGCACGACAAGCTTGGCTAAAAATCACACGAAATCGCTACAAAATCCTAGTTTTTCTCTCCAATAAGATAGTCAAATAGTGAACGTAAACCCGGCAAACAAATCAGTTCACGAATATTGCCACGTATAGTGTTCCCCTGACAAGTTATCGGTGTAAATCGGGTAAATTGAGGAGGAAGGTACCCAGATGGAGGTTAACGTACAATTATGGCAAGAGGTAGACATACAAAAATGTTAACCTCTAATACGGTAATTTGATTGGCTGTCATGTCATGAGGTATAATAATTATGAATATATTCATATCAAATCATGAATGCTTGATTAATCTTTGTCAAAAATCCTTAGGCTTGCATTTTCTTTGGGTACAAATTCACAATTAACAAAAATTTTTCAATTATTTTCACCCCAAATGCAAACAATTTGCATTTCAAATTTGGAAATTGTTCAATAAAAATTATAATGGAAATTATTGCTATTATAAGGATACCTCTCCTAAAAAAAACAAACAATCAGGATGTATAACTTTTAGGGATCATAAAGAACCAGGATGTATGACCTTCAGGGGTCATAAAAAACCAGAATGTATGACCTTTAGGGATCATAAAGAACCAGGATGTATGACCTTCAGGGGTCATAAAGAACCAGGATGTATGGCCTTTAGGGGTCATAAAGAACCAGAATGTATGACCTTTAGGGGTCATAAAGAACCAGGATGTATGGCCTTCAGGGGTCATAAAGAACTAGAATGTATGTCCTTTAGGGGTCATAAAGAACCAGGATGTATGACCTTTAGGGGTCATAAAGTATCAGGATGTATGACCTTTAGTGGTCAGAAAGAACCAGGATGTATGACCTTTAGGGGTCATACAGAACCAGAATGTATGACCTTTAGGGGTCATAAAGAACCAGGATGTATGACCTTCAGGGGTCATAAAGAACCAGGATGTATGGCCTTTAGGGGTTATAAAGAACCAGAATGTATGACCTTTAGGGGTCATAAAGAACCAGGATGTATGGCCTTTAGGGGTCATAAAGAACCAGAATGTATGACCTTTAGGGGTCATAAAGAACCAGGATGTATGGCCTTCAGGGGTCATAAAGAACTAGAATGTATGACCTTCAGGGGTCATAAAGAACCAGAATGTATGACCTTCAGGGGTCATAAAGAACCAGAATGTATGACCTTTAGGGATCATAAAGAACCAGGATGTATGACCTTCAGGGGTCATAAAGTACCAGGATGTACGACCTTTAGGGGTCATAACGAACCAGGATGTATGGCCTTCAGGGGTCATAAAGAACTAGAATGTATGACCTTTAGGGGTCATAAAGAACCAGAATGTATGACCTTCAGGGGTCATAAAGAACCAGAATGTATGACCTTCAGGGGTCTTAAAGAACCAGGATGTATGACCTTCAGGGGTCATAAAGTACCAGGATGTATGGCCTTTATGGGTCATAAAGAACCAGGATGTATGACCTTCAGGGGTCATAAAATACCAGGATGTGTGATAGTTTAAGAATTGCACGATATTCAAGTGCACTATTAAGCATTTAATCAACCTTAAACCCAACATTGCACTGTGAGAGTTTGTTATTATGGCACACATGGTATCAGTATGTATTACATGTAGATATTAAATCTGCAATGCTTGTTTTATGCCAAATACACAACATGGGTGTTGGCTAGTGCATAATGTAGAATGCTGTGGCCCCCTGAACATGACTGTCTATATTATCGCTCCAAACTGAAACAGGTGGACAACAACTACAAATCCATTGTTCAGTTTCTTTGTACTATTATGCTTTTAATTTAACGAATGAGTAAATGATTGAATGAATGAATAAATTAAATCTTACCTACAACTACACCATAACTTATTATTAATAAGTCAACACTATTTGTAAATGAACCTATAAACATTCCAATGCTGGAGAGTATTCCACCAAAAATAACCAATGGTCTGGTACCAATGTTTAAACTGTTGATCAATGGTGCTAAGATAATCAAAAATATAAAATAAATAAAATTAATCATAGAACAGATATTAGTTATTTAGTGATACATATAAGAAAAGTGAAAAAAAAAGTAATAAACTCATTTGTGCACTGCATATAGCCTTCTCAGTGTGTAGTATTTGTGATTTTTGACAAAGATATATGTATTAAAAGATTCATCAGATTTAATTCATCGCATCTATCACTATGGCAACATACATATGCACATGTTTTAGGGGCGTTATGTTGTGGACAATATCATTAGCCGTTTATAATGTTTACAAGTATCTATAACTATACATAATTACAGTATGGTCTGAGCTAGCCTGACATGTATACGTGAGTGGCGCCCTCGCCGGCCGAACAGCTTCAGACCTCACTAACGCCTGACAGAATAGTGTATGTCTTGTTGGCAAGATCAATACTGCGAATTCACGCCTTCTTGCAATGATTATTCATTTTGGTGGTCATGGTAACACCGTCAATCAAAGATGTGTTTGGATTAAGGTCATAAATCACAGACTGTTTTCAACAAAATGATAAACATTGGGCGGAGATTTGCCAGCATCTTATCACACATGTCAACAAACATATAAACTCTCTCGTGAATGGTTACTCTTTGATGGCTGTCACTATCTAAGGTTCCTGCAATTTGTTTGGTACTGACAACAAATCTCCAGGCGAAGTGAAAAACTACATCGTTCTGTCAGGCGTGTGTTGGGTTTGGAGCACACAACCTCGTCAGACTCGGTCTGAACTTAACTTAAAATTTAACTCACTTTAAACTGGCTTAACTGGTTTCAAAACTGATACATTTCTGAATGGTTAGAGGGGAACCACTCAATCCCATGGATTGCACCATGTACTCATGGGTAGTTAACTTTGCCTCTGTCCACTAAGTAAATGAATGCTTATTGTGCTTGCTTACTGAAACTGTGATTGACAGGCATTTTGCATACATTAGCCACCATTTTAAACTCGGGATTTTTACTTGTCGTGGCACGTTTCGATCGAAAACATTAACATTTATACATCAAAAACCCAAGCAGATGAGTGTAATCGCCAGCGTACATATTCATGCCCCCGTAAAAATGTATTTGGAATCACAACTTGATCTCCAAGCATCAGAAATGGCACTTTTCCCGGTGCTCCCGCCATGATGTGAGCGGCTTGGTTCGGATAAGCATACTAAATTGCAGTGACCATCTTGCCCCTATTTATAGTATCGGTTCCCATTTAAGTGTAATCTATACCTAAATATGGCTTATAATAGTAACATAGATAAATACTGCAAAGAATAAGTTGCACTTTAAAAATTATTAATACCCGGTAAGTATCCATGAAAAGCAAATCCATTTAAAAGTGAACTTGAATTTTAAGTTACAACCTGACTGTACTGTAAATGCCTATAATTATATTTTGTTAGTAATAACATAAGTCTTTCACATATGAGTGTCGTCTGTTCAAAATTTCAGAAGTCTATGCCACAAACTTTTTAAGATATCATTTATTTACTTGTCAATGATTGGTATCAATCCATCCACCATTTTGAATTTGTCCTGATGCTGAAAATAAAAATTATTATTATACATCTCATCTGTCACCGTAATGTCATAAGTTACAGCGTGCCGTAATTTTGTGGTATTTTACGGGGTATTTTCATCATACCATATTAGGAACTTTGAATTCCAAATATGAAATGATTACGAGTATATCTGCGTGTCGGTCGATACTACCACTGTACTGCCTTTGTGCATACTATGAGGTATCCTCGTAATAATCTCATATTATTTGGAAACCATTTGTGAATACTACAATACAAAGCTTTGTTCTTCTCACCATTGGATGTGATTTGTGCTATGAATGTTTTATTGTTTGACAAAACAATACTGTACAGTACTCTTGGCATAACAAAAGCATTCCCTTCATATTTATAAATATTGATATGTGTATATTTCAATGGCAGTTGAATTAAATTTGCTGGTCAATGAGCATAGTGTACACCAATGCCATCTGGAAACATTTCACCTTTATTCAACTGGTAAATAGAAAGCCCTCACTTCATTTTGAATTGTGTAATTTATAAAAATGGTGAGAATGCCTTTGTTTTAATAAGAGTAGATACATTAAATTATCAAAATTGGAACAGTTATACATGTACAATTTTATGTACTAAAAATGTATTTTATAATGCCTGTGTTTTGCATGTAACATAAGGGAGTTTAGAGATTTTAGCGCTTGTTGTATATCTTACATCACTGCGTAATTCATTTCCATACATAATTTTAGCAACTAAAATGCAGGTCTAATTGAAGGTCATGTATTTTGTGATGTCATCAATTCGTGTGTAGGTACGTTTGTGTCTTGGCCACTTTTATTCATGGCATGTACATTGCATGTATGCAAAATGTTTTTTTACACTCTTCCAACTTACCTGGGCACAGCATCATTGAGGACAGAATGGCTTGAATTGTTGCCGTCTTTCCGGCACCCTCTCCAAAATACTCCATGAACTCCGCAAGGAAAACTCCCGTAGCCATTTGACATCCCACTACCAGACAAAATACAATAGAACTTGCGAAAACAACCACACAGCCATACCAGCCACCATCGTCTTTTTTAACACTGCTCATCGAATGAAATGCATACCACTCCTATTCCTAAAACGAATACCATCCATGACCATGACAAATGTTTGAACTTTTAACCTTTGACTTTTCAGTACAATATAGATGATATGATAGTCCTTGTAAACATATAAAAAATGTGTGAGCTCTGTGATTTTTAAATATTTCCAATATTTCCAAATATTTTGAATTTAATTAGTTGCCTTTGACAAAAGATACATGCAAATCACAATGACAGTGTAACAAACAGTTGGTTCTTAGTGACTGGATGTTTAATAAGGTCAATAAACTAATAAGTGACTGGATATTTATTAAGGTTAATAAGTATAAATGTAACTAATAAAGTTAATAACTTAATTAAATTTGGATTAAATCGCATCTCTATATAAGGTTACCATTTTCTTGATGTCAATTAAATTGCATTCCTATATAGCATTGCAATTTAAAATTTAATTTAAACAACAATTATTATAATAGCAGTTGTGATATTCATGGTTCTGTTGTGTTTAAGCTGCAGTAATATTCTGTGGTATTTATTCCACACGATATGCTTTGACCCATATTATTTGTTGAGCCCAGTGTTATTTTTTTTTACTTGGGGGGTTCTAATAATGACACAAAACTCAAAGTGCAACTCTAAATTCATAGATAATATCACTTTTCGATGATGATTATTTTAGTAGCATACATGTATATGATCATTGTCAGTATTGACAATGGAAACTGACATTTCAACCTTAATATTTTACTTGTTTTCACTTTTTATATACTTTATAACGTTCTATCCTCGGGGGCGAACATCCGGGTATTTTCACCGCCTGGCAACCCGCGGCGGTGAAACAAAAGCCGAAAACTCGCATAAAACGGTACTTTGGGATGATTGTTGAGACTCCTCTGAACAGTGCAACAAGATTAGCCCTACGTGTGTAAATTTGATTGTTCGGGATTACTTCAAAGTTGAGTTTGTGTTGTTTTCTTGAATTTTCACCGGCTTGACCGGCGTTCCACAGCAGCGCACACAGAGCCCATAGAAATGCATGGTACAGTGGTGCGCGTCTTAGCAACGTGGAACGTCTGTGACGTAGCTCCGCCCCCGAGGATAACAACAATCTTGTCCATTTCCAAATGTAGATATATTCTAGTTATGTGCACATTCTAAAATTTCTTCACAAATTTAGCGTTACAGATTTAAATTTACTTATTACTTTGCAAAAAATCAGGAATTGCATAACATTCGCTAGTTTTAGAAATAATTTGAGCCAATAATTTGACAAAATTATTTAGTATTCAACAGTAATACCCACATTGAATATTTGCATATTCCACAACGATAACACGTACGCATTCTGAAGTACGTGTACTATGCTCCTATTCGCTCTCACATGTCTCGTTGCTACTTTTCACTCTCGTCTTTTTTCTAGTGATTAGTTTTAGGATTTTCGTGCTACTTACAGTTGCACACATTATTCCCAGGTAATACATGAAATAACATAGCAAAACTATTTTGGTGAAAAGTAAATATTATTTTCCGCTACACTGCATATTATTTCTGATATTACTCTGGAATAACTTCCAAGCAAACCAAATAAAGTCATTATAAACAAAACTAAGAGTAAATAAAATATGAAATTTAATTAAAAAAATATTGAAAGATTTACCTTGTTCCTTTCACCTCCAACTAGATTACTAGCCACATCTCACATTGGTTAGCTTTTTTTATGCTACATGTACATGTACGAGTAAAATATGGAAAATTAAAAAGAAAAATTAAAATGCACTGTTGAGATTTTCATATAGTTGGTGTGGTTTTGTTTTCTTTCATTTTCTACTGTATTTTGGTGGAATAAATGTATGAATTAATTGCACCTTTTGTGCTGACCAGAAACTGAACTAACGACAAAAAAATTATTGCCATGATTTATCACTCTTTGTTTTACACTCCTTACACGTAGGTACCTGACTGTCTTCTTTGTGGTACGTTTAAGAAGTTTGTACAGGAATGTAATCTATGGATTAGTAGCGGTGGTACGTCATCAGTTTTACATTACGATGCAGATCACAATATTCACTGTTTATTTGACGGTAGAAAAGACATTATTCTAATTCATCCAAAGTACCAAGACTATTTAGACATGGTCAAGAAGGTAGGAATTAAGTTAAATTTCACACTTCTTTACTAGAATATAATGAGTTTTCTGATCGCTACGTACATTAACGAGTTGGGTACTGATGTTGTTCAGCTGAATACACGTCCTTGGCTGTGTTCCCTCAGGGATGTACATGTGCTACTGTAAAGTACTTAATTTTCGCTTGAATTTATTTTTGCTGTTTTCGCTGAAGGGATGATTCAGTGAAAATAAAATTCAGCAAATATATCTTTTTTTCCTCTTTTTACATTCAACTCAGCAAAATTCAGTGAAATTAAACTCCATACAAAACACTCAAAAAGTCTTTTCAGCGAAAATTAATTCCAGCTAAAATATAGAATTTCACAGTAAAACAATTATGTTTGTTATGTAATACCATGAAGTTGATAAATGTGATGAAATATTTTTAATATAAGAGTTTTCAGTATTTAATGGTTGGATACTTGTGTATATTGGTGTAGCAAACCAATAGCAGCAAGCATAAACCAAAATTATAATAATTGTATACTGGATCTTTCAAATTTATTTCCACCATAAATTGTAGACACACCCCTGTCATTTACATAAGCACATAACGTTACTAAAAATGGATCAAATATGTTAAGAATTATGGGTAATTTCCAATGATTTTCTTGTCAGTTAAGAGACCAGACTTTGGAATTGAAGCTTGCAAGAAACACCAAGAAATAGTGGGTGAATCAAAAAACCCAAAATAACATCATTTATGCAATCTCATTTTCTGGATGAGATACTACCATGCACCATAACCTGTTTACTCCAATTGTAGCATTTGCAATTAGTGCTTTAGTAAATAAATGACAGTGTGGACAAAATAAGTAATTTTTTAAAATTTTACACATTTATTAGAAATGCACTCCAGTATGGTATTTCATTAAATTCCCATGGGAGACAAGTTTTATATTTTTCACTCCTCATGTTCATTGCATATTGTATAGGCATCATATTCTGGATCAAGTTATTCCACGATGGATATGGACATGATCAATATGTATAAGAATCCAAACATCGCTAAAGTTCCGTGGACATGGGCAACAATCAGACCTGGTGATTGTGTTTATTTACCTGCTGGTATGTACATTTCATTCCTGTCAGATATATCCATGCAGTATTTAGTGACAAATGTGTGATACAAACTCCCCATCTCTACATGTATATCAGTTAATTTGACAGTTATGATGGGAGATAATTGGCATCATTTATTTAAATTCAAATATGTACATTATTTACGTATGATTTGAACATGTACAGTGTGACGACCACTGCCATTCTAAATCCCATCTGGTTTAAGGCTTAAATTTCTTTTTTTTAATGCAGCAAATATATTTTGGGTGGTTATAATTAATAGTTTTTTTTTTATTTAATTGAATCTGATTCTAGTAGCAATGACAAACGTCTAATCAGATTTAAAGCAGCCACGATGAAAACTAATATTGTGGAAATAAAATAAAACCTGTGTATATTTCATGATAGGTTACTTACACCAAGTGCGGTCTTATGGTCGAAGTCTTGCCGCTACGATACTCTTTACCACGGATGGTGACTTTGACGACAGTGATTGCGATGATGCAACATTTAACTATACAAGTCTAGCAGATATTGACGTGACATGGACGTACAAGAAAGGTGACAAGGTGATTAATTTTGATACTGTCTAGTTGAAACTTTCAAAATATTTTTAATTCTCCGATTACATTTGTTATTTGTAGCTGCAGTTAAAGTACCTGTGAAATATTCTCTGTCAACTTTTTTTTAACCCCCTTGCTCATAAAGATGACTTGGCCAATGCAGTGAAAAAATTGATTCAGCATTTCTACTCTCGTTTTTCAGCTTGGTCAACTTTCTTCAGCTGTATGTTTATAGTTGTATATCACACTTAATGATTGGGTATTTCTTTCAAATATGAGCAAAATGAAATTCTATAATTTACAGACATGTTTGGAAGTGTTACGCATTCTTTTAAATATTTCCTTATTAGGAAATTGTACACATAACGTTCAAACACTTTCCTTTGATCACTTAAAACCCAGAAGCACTATCAGCTTGTGATAGAAATAGAGTTCTGTCACGAAAGCAAACTTACACCAGTGCGAAACATTCTTTGTTGCAATTTCAGGCTGTTATCGTTCATTTAATTATTACTACAAACTTAGAAAAGATGTATAGTAATAAAGTTATCATGAGAATACCACAAAATATGCAGTGCAGTCCCACATTGACCTTTGCTATGTGTTCGTCGATACAATCACTATACCACCTCTGTGCATACTTTGCGTTATTCTCGTAATACAACACCAATGGTAGTGAAAGGATTGAAATAGCCAACATACGCATTTACTGCTGATATAGTAAATACTATTTGGTAATGTCCTAAATAACTGTTGCTTTTTATTGAAAACATAGAAAAAATGTTTAAGAACATGCGCAACAATTATAAAATGGAATCACTAAAAAATTATACAGTAATTCTACATGTATATGTGCACTAGTTATTAATCACAGGGTATGACTAGTTAATATAATCAAAGCAGATAATATTTAGTAACATATATCGGTGATCATCAATAACTTTTTCTAATTTACAGCGCAATGAATGTGAAAGATACAACAATTAGAATTCAAAATGGCTGCCATAAGTTATTTCCATGATAACTCACTGTTTTTCACAAATCTACTCACATATTGTCAAGGGAAGTGTTAATATTCTAGGATATATCATGGATTATTCTCCCTTCATGGTATAAATTACATTTTGTTTATTTTTTTTTTAAATTATTGTTGCAGACTATTGACATGGGTTACATGAATATAGAAATTATACGTCGGAATTTACTCGCATTTTCACAAGAAGAGGATAGGTTATTAAAAGAGCGGTTTATTTATTATTACTACGATATGCAGGATAAGGAGGAAGAAAATATACCGCCAGCAGAGCAGGTGTGTTTGATTTTGCACCCTTAGGTTGTTGTGTTTTCTAGGATAGACCGAGAAGATAAAGCACCCTTAAGTTGTCCCTTGTGATATAAATGAGTGAAAAGTGTAAAAACAAGATGCCTTAGGCCAAACTTTTATTATCCCTTGTTTTGTGAATGAACAGGAGCCGAAAATGAAATATAATTTTATTTCAGCGTAATTTCTCGAGCCCGCCAACTTGTGAGCGCAAAAAAATGCTAAAAAAATATTATTTTTATCTTCATTTTTTGACCACCCGCCGCATAACAAATCCAAATTGCATTTTTGTGGGAGTACTAGTATCATGATCAAAGTACCGAAGTCTTGCGCAGATGAGAAACAAGGTTATACATGGAATAACATTTTATTTCATTTCTTCTCTCTGATCAATGATCTCACTTACAATTCTTTGAGAATCACACAAATCTAATGGAAAAAAAGAATTAATTTTATTTATTTTTTTTCGCCCTCCTCAAAAAAATTGCCTTATCGGTATAAAAACCCGAGAAACAAGGAATAAAAAAAGTCTGAAATTGTTGGCACCATCTACAAATTAATTTTGTACAGTGTGCTTTTCTCCACATGAAATGTTGATAGAAATTGAAAAACCTTTTGATCAAAAACTAAAAGCAATATCTAAAACTGTCTGTATTGTCCAAAATATTGATGAAATTTAGTGATAATTTTACAGAATAAGAAAATGTTTACACTGAAATTTTGGGCGGGAAAAATAACTGACACTCAAAGGATTGGAAATTGTTTGAAACTCAAGATAGTGAAACATTTTGAAACTATTTTGACGATATCACGTGGAAATTTGGGTTTATAATTATCTGTATGCTTATTGGTTGTATAGCAATTTGAAAAATGGCACATTATTAAAGGGCGGTAGTTGTCGCACTGCACATATGCTACATTTGTGTTGATAAACATTGATTTTCCCAGAATCCAATGCACTCTTCTAATGAAATCACAAGTATGAGTTTTGCCCTTGGTGCTTCACACTAATTACCACCGGCGACTCCTTCAAACCTTCAAACGACCAAAAAATATACCTAATTGGTAACCGCTCAGTTTGTACTCATTGGTTTGCGCAACAGTCAAAGTCGCCATCTTTGTTTAAATGAGACCCATATCGCATACATGCGCGACCTGACGACTACCGCCATTAACATAATATTTTTTTATATTTCAACATTGAACTTTTCCATAACTGCATAAAAATTTGAAAACAAGATTGTAAACTTGTATGGCATTTGTGATTTTTGTCAAAATGAACCCTGAGGGAGTTTTTTCAAATTCTGACGCAGAACAAACATTTTGAAGGAATAAATCAGGAATACTGCTTTCAATTTTTGTGTTGAACAATAGAATGTAGTCCTGATTCTTTATGTATATGTATGACATCATAATTGAATACAGCGCCCTCAGTGGCAATATTTTAGTAATACTGAGTAGAAAATAAACAGCAACAGTAAAAGTAGTGATTAGATTTCTCTTAGAAATTTGAAATAAGTTGTTATAATATATTTCACAACATTATTTTCCAGGCATGGGCCAAGTTGGACAAAGCTGGTAAAGGATTTCTTACCCGAAATGAAATTATTAATATGGACAAAGAAATTCTGAAAGATTTTGCTCGCTTTGTTGATCCTCCACATGGGCCATCTGGAGGAGAGACTCATGATGAACTTTGAACTGTAACTTGTATGCAAATTTCTGGTTGTACGGCCATCTTTGATTATCTGAATCTCAATATTTTGAATGTCTTTACTATTATGTAAATGAGATAATGTCATTCATCTTATCCAATCACATGGCAAAAAACTTGATATTGATAGTCATTTATAAACTTAATTTTAAGGTATTGTATTCAAACTCAATTTAAATTTGAAATTTTCCATGGTGTTATTTTCAAACATAGTATATGTGAATGGAAGTGACAAACTGATGTGATTTATACTTTTCAAGTGGATACTTTAGAGTGGAATTGTTGTCGTCATAGAAACCTCAAAATGTCTCGCAGAATAGTGTATGATATTTTATTTTATTTTTTGTGGTTTGTTAATTTTTTGCTACAAGAGGTGAATCTGAGTCAGTAAAAATATGATATGACGTTTATCTTATTTAATCCAAAATTAACACAAAATTACATTGAATCATATGAAAAATGTGGCAAAAAATTTTAGTTAGAAACAGTGATTGAAAGGGATGAAGGAGGGCACATTCTGTATCTAGTGAGCATATTACAAAAATCATAAAAACCATTGAATATAATGGTAAAATATTGTTAGAAACTCACAAAATTGAATTGTATTTATTTTTAATTCTCAAAATATCAAATGAAATTTTTCTATTTTTAACTGTCTGTACCAGCATGACATGGAAATATTTATTGAAGACAAACACTTTTAATGTTCAATTCATTTTTTACATGCTATAAAATGCTGTAATTTTTTTAACTCTTCATTTTTTGTTTAACTATTCTGATATATATTCAAAGATTTAGTATGGATTCATTTTTTAATATTTTTGTTTGATACTTAAAAATAAAATTGCATTAATGAAAAAATGAAATGAAAATCACTGTTCAGTGATTGTATGTATGTACTAAACCAATCTGTACATACGCATATTGTATTGTTCATTGAATGAAAGTTTGTTCTCAAAATGTCAAGTTCACCAAAAAAACAAAAAAAAATTTGTTTTGGGGACGGGGTTAAAGAACTTTTTTGTCTAGGTGCTGAACATTTTTTTTTCAGTCTGTCAAAAATATTCTACTTTCTTGTAAGGGGGAGGGGTGGTGTATGATGGAATACCTTTCTTTCAAACTTTGCCAGGTTGAGAACAATCCTTTGTTTTTGTGTGCTTTAAATCATATTCAAATTTAACATAATGTACCAAACAACAATTTTGAAAATTATATTCTCATCAGTACTTCACCATTTTTTTCTGTATTTATTATATATTGATTATTAAACATGTGGACTGTTTGGAATAAAAACAGTACATTTACTTTCTGTTAGAAAAGTAATAAACTATCATTAGAATTAGGTTAGAATGGAACAGATTCAATGGGTAGGCCAAATCCATTGATGCTACTTTCGGAAATGTTGGTAGTTGCTTGTGTTCGCTCGGACCTAATTCTTCAGAAACGGCATTAACAATTTGTTCATTATAAAATGACGGCGCTGTCCTAGCATGTAATAATAATATTTTTTTGTAACAATAAACTATATGTACCTCCAGTTAATTTAATTACAGTCTAAAATTTAAAATGATATGAGGATATTATTAGCAAGTGTAGACATTATACTGTAAAACACATAGCTACATGTCATTTTAGCGAAGCTAAAGTTAAATTAGTGACATCTTGAATTAGCAAAATTACAGATTAGCTATATTAGCTAAAATAGCATGCTAGCTAAAACGAGATGTTTTACAGTATATTACGAGTATTTGCTCTCATGGTGAGTGTATAACTATCGATATTCGGAATATCCATTATGTTTAATTAAATCAATCAAACAATCAGTACATTTATATAGCGTCAGTATCAGAGATCTGCCCACGCTGGTTGGCGCCCGTCTCAGTATCTGAAGTATTTTTCAATGGCACGAGACAATCAAGTAGTATTAGCTGAGGGTTTTGGGTTGAGTGTGGTTTCTTGGCGTAACAGCCATGCGGCACTTAGACTGATCATGACCCAGCTGTGGTGATTTTTTTTTCAGTTAAATTATAATAATAATAAACTTGGAAGAAAATAGTTTTGCGAAATTTGGGGTGATTTTGCGATCACGGGGAATTTCACCTTAACACCTCCATTTCGTGATTTTTTAAAATTTAATTTGAACTTTAAAAAGAAATAAATTGCTTAGACTGTGCCAATCTACGCGGCGGTGTTCCGCAAAATCTCGGTGAATGACATTCAATAACTAATTAAAGTACTAGTAGTCTGAATTCCGTAACATCTATTTAATGCTAGACGTATGTTAAGCTTAGAAATTTACAAAATGTGACAAGACTCCGAATAACAGTATGCTAGTTACTACGAACATTAGCGTGCAAAATTAAAATACTAGCGTCGCTCATAATTATCAATAAATATCACGGATCTTAATAAATGTTTAACAAATTTATAAAATGAATTAATTATGAGCTGGGTGCCATAACGACATTATACTGCAAGAATGTAGCGGCGTCGTCCAGGAAACAAAATTTGATAGTCTACTGTGGTTTCTAATCAGAAAGCATCTCATTTTTGCCAAGCGAATCTCTTGAGCGAATGGTAGTTTATTGTTACATGGAGGTAAAAAGATTGTTAGTACATGTATAACGTGTGATATTTTTCTACACCATGTATCTACTGAATCCGTTGTAAAAAATATGATCCAGCATAACTTATCTTTGCCCTATTATTAGGCTGTTGAAACGCGCCAATAATATAAACGGAGGGGTCACTTTTGATATTCCCTTGCTTTAATATTGTATTTGTCTGGGTCACTTTGATCACAGTGGTTGGTTGCTGAAATCAAGACGCCTATGGGGTGGAACGATGTCCCGGTACATGACCATATCCTTGCTCAAAATAATAAAAATTATAGAATTGATAAAGCAAGCATATGTTATTAAATTTAAGTATATACTCTCCGAAACCCATCAAGTCACGTGTTTCGGTATCAGCCTGCGCTATACAATCACTATAGTTTGGAAGAATTACGTTGTTTGGCTAATATGCTGATTTAAGTGTACCTGTGTTCTTCGTTTATTGCATGATAGAGCCATCGTGGATCTTTTCTTAGATTAAACCCCGTCTTGACAACATCGCCATGGTTACACGGCACCGGGTACAGTACAGCAAACGTAAAATGGTAATTGTCAAACATTATGTTTTGTGAAGAATAAAAACCGCTTGTAACCATGGAGACACAACTTCAAATACCCATTATCATGTTGATCTATTCATGAGGTTAAAATAGAGCTTCGACCCAAATCCGCCCAGTGTTGATCACGTGACCTAGATGTTTTCTTGGTAACAATACCGCTTTCATATGCATAAGTGCTTAGTCTCCGCATTAGCGAGGTCACGCGATATTTATAGTAGGGACGATCAACATGGCCGAAATGAGTCAGTACTTCCGTGTTCCGCTGATATGTGTTTTTGTGGTATTTAGTGCATTTTACAAATCGAGTGACAGCGTACAGTTTCCCCCAGTGGTCGTTGACAGTACAGGTGCGGAGCCACGAGGTCATTTGCGGCCGTTTGGTAAGTTTATTAATTAAATCGTACACTACTCGTGACATTCCATCAGGCCGGGTGTATGATACTACACTAGTGTATTATACAACATTAGTTCGGCAGTACGGCGTAAATGGAGACATCAGTAAAATTCAGTTATTTTGTATGCCAATTTTAATCACACAAGTGAGTACTGATGGAAAGCTAAATTTGAGGTTACAAGCTTCAGCATATCATCGTTAAATGGCTGATTATGTCCACCGGTAGTTATGAAACTGAGGGCGTACTGTCTTTTCACTCGAAATCCAAAAATATCGTTTCGTAATATAACGCTCAGAATACGGAATCGCAACTTGCGAACAGCTACCAATCTCGTACACGATACGTCAAAGAACGCATCGGCGAGACGATCCCGCTTCTTCTTCTTTTATTATAATCAACGTTTTATTAACCGACTGGAATACACATGTACACATGCCAGTGATTTTGCGTTTTCCCCATAAGCGATCTTATTGCATGCAACTGCTTGTCAGTTCGGTACTTAGAACATTGGCGAGTCTATGCTTCGCGTGCATGGTTTAATCTGAGTTGCCAGCACCAGCATCCCGACGCTCCAATACTGCATGCATGTTCGGGGCAGTATTACTGAGCCACTCAACGCATTGCCCGACTACCTGGTTGGTACAGGTAGGAAATTGGAATATTTTGCGAATCAAACGCAGCTCTATTCCTCTGATTTTTGAATACAAATTTACCAACAAATTTGATAAAATGCAGACTTTCAATACCTTATTCTAGACTTTATCTCCTCGTTCTGTTTGAACGCATCTGTGCATTTAGTGTTCAAGTGGAACGTCCAAAAAACGAAAAAAAACAACAACACAACAACAAGGTCTTCCAATGCCAAACCCTGCCTTGTCTTGTCCTGTCTTGTCTTGCTGTCTCTTACAAATGTACACCTTTTCTAGTTGTCGCGTAAATGCGAACTAAGAAAAAGTATTCCCTATCTCAGTGAAATTCAAAACGCACATTGTAGTTTGAATGTTGAATTACGGTAAAATATTTGTGAGTGCATATTGCTACGTAATTGTTCACTTGGATCCAGTTACATGTAGTTACATTTTGTTAAAATTGTTAAAAATGAAATCTACATTATGAACATTTTTTTTAGAAATATACATTATATCGTCCTCTAATATATATAAGGACTTATTTGTTTCACCTTGAATTACGCTTAGAGTATTTTTTTCTTATCTCAAACACAATATATATCTTATTGAATGTTGATTTTTTCCCGACAAATGGTTCGGTGAACTTGCTTTTCATGTAAAATTTAACAGCGTATGATATGATCAAAATAAAGGTCACCTGTTGCACTACAGGCTTCGATAGAAGGCGTTTCATATGTTGTATTTCATTTCTATTTAAAAAAAATAAAATTGTTAGGACATATTGACATGCCCACTCTTCTTTCTCGGCACACTGTTGACGTGCGTGCATATATATTATAATGGCTTAATTAAAACAGAAAGAGTAATCCACGACAACTGTCTGTTAATCGTAAATTGATGGTATTAAATCTAATGTCGCGTGTAATTCGTGTATAGTTATTAATTTCTACGTTTTGTGAACATCGTGTTTCTCACGTCGAAGTATGTCATGAAGTGAATGTGCTCAGTTATCGTCGAGGTTATCCATGAGCGTGTCCATTGTTCTACTGAGGGAGATCGCTCCATTGTTTGAGTTCTACGGAACCACAGTCAACTAGCGCACAAGTGATAATAAAATAAATGTGATATTTACTATCTTGAATACAGCACGAAAGTAAATAAAGAGACGAGTTGTGAAACGCGTTTTTCAGTTTCCTACAAATCAGGGGGGGGGGAGGACTTTCACAGCTACTCGATCCAATTATCGCCTGTGCTAATTATCGTCCGTGTCATCGTAGATGAAGATAAGATATTATGTGGTAAGGGCAATCTGATTAAAATCTGATGTAGTGTATGGGCTTTAATTATTT